CATCGGAAAATGTTTACGTATTGTTACCGCGTTTAACGCGCGATAATTCACACACATCCTGCTCTCCCCGTTTGCCTTCGTCACTAGCATCAGGCTATGAAACAGTTAATTAACTTTAATACTAGGGTTACTGAATATTCCGAAGCACTGATCGACTTATTGTACTCGAACGCTACGGAAGCGTCATGTAAAAAAGCGGAGGAACATAGAATATCGGACCATGAAACTATAATGTTCAAATGCGATATAAAAAAAAAGGCCCTATCAGTAAACTGTCTGAAATAACTTCGTGGGATTGGTACAGCCCAGACAACCTCATAAATCTTTTACGACAATGCACCTTCGCTGACCTGAATAGTCTCAGTCCTGATGGTATGCTCGAACATATTAATAATTGTTTGATTTCGAGTATGAAGAAACTACCTTCTCGTGTACAAAAGCGGGTCTAAATCCAAAATAAATGGTATGACAGACAATTGACTGAAACTAATAAAGAAAAACTTAAGTTATACCAAAGGGCAGTGATCACTGGTGATTGGGTAGAATACAATGAAATAAAGAAAGCGTATAAAAAAATGATTAGAATTAAAAAATACAATATTTGGAATACAAGGTGGAAATTAATAGAGGTGATAGCCGTTTAATGTGGACACCTTTGAAGAAAATTTTCAATAATGCGGATCACAAAGAAAACATCAAAGAGGTTCGAATCAACGGTAAAATATATAGCAATAGTACTGAAATCGCTGACAAGTTAAACAATTTCTTTGTTGATAGTATCAGCGATATTAATAGGAATATAGAAAACATTAACTATGATCCGATTCAACAGGAAAATGGTCGAGGGACCTTTAAATTTTGTGAGATTAGTACAGACGATATTATCCATATAGTAAAGAAGTTCAAGATAAAAATTTGTGGAAATAATTTATTATCCGAGGGTGTAATTAAAGACTCCGTTGAATACATGGGTCTTTTTTACGCCCTATTAGTAAATAAGAGCCTTCAGTTGGGAGTAGTTCCGACAGAATGGAAAACTTCGACCATTGTCCCAATAAAAAAGGTCATAAACACCATAAAATCGGAGGAGCTCAGGCCAATAAACACCCTTCCCAACATAGAAAAAATACTGGAAACGGTTGTAAAAAATCAAATATTAAACTATATTGAGTCAAATAAAATACTCATTAAGGAGCAGTCAGGTTTTAGGGCTAATCACTCTTGCGAAACAGCTCTAAACTTGATCGTATCACAATGGAAGGAGGACCTGAATTCCAAGAAAACTATCTTGGCGGAGTTTGTGGACCTTAAGAGAGCCTTCGACACAATCGACAGGGAAATAATGCTAAAAAAACTCGAATATATTGGTATAGATAACATCGAACTTACATGGTTCCGTAGCTTTCTTTCTGATAGGAAGCAACAAACGGTGATTGGCACAGCTCTATCCACTAAGGTAGCAGTAGATATTGTCTACCACAAGGGTCGGTGTTAGCTCCAATTCTCTTTAATATTTATATCAACGACATAAACTCGGTTTTGAAGTATTGTAAGGTAAAATTGTTCGCCGACGATACCCTCTTAACCCTCAGTGACTGTAATCTACCCAATGCAATGATTAAAATGCAAGAAGACCTTCATTGTTTTTATAAATGGTTGTGCGTAAACATACTGCAATTAAATGTGAACAAGACAAAGTTTATGGTCATACCTAGAGCAGCTAACGTTAGCTCCGATAATTACAGTTTAAAAATTAAAGATGAAGTAATTGAGAAAGTGAGAATCATTAAATATCTAGGTATATATATCGATGATAAGTTAAAATATGAGGAACATATTGACTACATAGTAGCAAAAATTGGTAAAAAAATTGGTCTCATGAAAAGATCATGTAAGTACTTAGGAAGGAGGTATAAGACTCTGGTCTACAGATCTATAGTTGAACCACAATTCATGTACTGTCCTACAATCTTTTTTATAGCAAGCGACACACAAATAGATAAGCTTCAAAAAATGCAAAATAGGGCTATGCGATTTATCTTGAACAAGCGGTACGACACACTCATACAGGAAAGGATCGCAGAATTAAACTGGCTGAGCGTGAAACAGCAAATTTTCTATCACGCTATGAAATTCGTGTTTAACACAAAACAAGGTAGACTTTCAGATTATCTGAGTGATATCCTACGATATAATAGTGAAACCCATTCGTATTTACTCAGGGGGAATAATAGCTTCAGGCTGCCGCTGTTCAAAACGGAAATAGATAAGAAGAACATCTTTTATAAGGGATTAAAATGTTACAATGAACTTCCAGCTCAAGTAAAAAATTGTGAAAACGTTGGTACCTTCAAAAGGCTGCTACTTGATTACTGTAGAACATTGGCTATCAGATCGAAAGGTGCGGCATGGAAACTAGTCCTTTCCATCCGTACTAGCTGAATGACTCTGGATCTAGTCCATTCAGATCACCCATAATGTATGAAATAAGAAGATCGGCATGGAAACTAGTCCTTTCCGTCCGATCTAATAGCGCGACTCTGGATTTCGTCCATTCAGATCGCCTGCCGGTAGAGAAGTTTATAAGAGGCGGCTTGGAAACTAGTCCTTTCCAACCGCTTAGTTGTGGCGGCTCTGGAAATTACACACTTAGACCGCATATCGTACATGATATATTTACGGTACTGCTTGGAATCATGTCCATTCCAACAGCATTGAGAATATGCTATCTTAGTTAAATATACATAAACTATTATATAGCTTAGAAGGAAAAGTGTAACATATTTTAAGCATTAATTTTAACTTTACCTTTATTATATTATGCAATACATAATTCAAACGTATATACGTGAATGTATATAGGTCAAATGACTGTAATAAATAAAATAAAATTACCTCGTTGGTCAGCAGCTCCTTCAAAATCGATGACAGCTCTTCCTGCTTTGCGAATGGCACCTGGTATCGTCTACCCACTATTGGACTTGGAGCAGTAACTTCAAAAATCATTGTCGTTGTCTTCGATCGGCCTAGCGTGGATATACCTTCCGAAAACCAATCGTCATAGTCTGTCAGCAGCTTAAACACGTTTTGCTTTCCGTCATCTTGAAGACCTTCGTTAACGTTGAACTGTTTCGCGTTCTTGATCTGCAACATCATTGACCCTGCGTCAATGATCAATCGTCGATCGTGACCACACAGCACATCTCTTCCAATCAAGAGATCGCAATTCAACATGCTGTCCGGTACCTCGTATAGCTTGGCCTTAATAACCTCATCCTTCAACTTTATAGCCGTGTCGATGACCTCAACTATAGAGCCACCAAACCCTTGTAGCCGTTGGAACGTTGGCGTCTTATGTTCGCTATTTATTGCTGCTGTAGTTCGTATGAGCGAATGATCGCTACCCGTGTCCACCAACGCTTGATATTTTACGCCTTCACATTCAATTTCTTCAACGATGGGTGGACTCTTCTGCTGCGTACTTACGTTGCATTCAATCTTAGCGACCGCATGCTTTGGATCTGCTTCTGTACACTTCTTTGCATCATGTCCTACCTTGGAACACTTGCTGCACCGCAGCTTCTTTTGCGGCTGAGGGCATTTGGCCCTCGCTTAACTTTGTCTTCAGCCGAAACGGGGCTGACGTCCGATGAAGTTACATTTTGAGCAAAGCGTTGTCCACTCGCTTGAGTTGTTGCACGCAGACTCTCGATTGATTGCCTTAAGTCGTTACATGTCCGCACATTCATTGCTAATTCGTTATTTCGCAAAAAAACGTTTGGTTGCGCCACGGTTTAATTCGACAATTTCATCATTTTATTTAATTTCCCCGGCACCGTAGATTATTTTATAATTTGCGTTCTACTTTTTGCCGTCCAACTTCCATTCCCCGAATTGTTCGTTTTTTCCCCTATCCGTTGCACTGCCGTTGCTCTGTTTGCTGAGCGTCGTTCCCTCGTATATGCTTTTACGTTTCACAGTCGTTCGTCGTTGTTTTCCTTTACACTCCTTCGTTGAGTCGTATGCGTATGCGTATGCGCCGTTGGTGTTGTGAGCTTGTGTGTGCTATTACGTGCACAGCCGTTGCTCCTTTCCACTCTATTCGTTGAGTGTCGTATGCATATGCGCCGTTGGCGTTGTGAGCGTGTATGTATGTATGTGCTATTACGTGTACAGCAGTTGCTCCTTTCCTACTTTATTCGTTGAGTGTCGTATGCGT